TCTGATTCATCTTTGTGTCATCAGCTCTAGTACAAAGCCTGCTAGGTTGGCTTTGTACCACCTACCTGTTTTACTTTGAGTAAACCTACATGCTATTCATCTGTTTATCTGCCATCCATCCCTTCAGCATATATTTAGTGAGGTGCTATTATGGGTCAGAACACTTGTAGGTGAATGACAATATGGCAGTAAACAAAATAGATCTCACTGTCCTTAGATATATTGCTTCTTACACTGATGCATATACTTAAACCTTTATAAAGACATTTTATACATTTATGAAGTCAAACAGATCAGTGTTTTCCTGAATGATTTGTGCTTTTGTGCATTGCTTAAGAAATCTTTCATTTCTAAACTATAATAAAGCCATAATAAATATCTCTCACAGCAGAATTTTGATTAAGAACTCAGGCTTGGAAATAAAATTACCTGAGTTCAAATCTCAGCTTTGCCACTAAAAGTTGGGCAAATTTGTTAACTATTCTATGTTTCAGTGTGATATCACTGACTACCATGAGAATAATTATTTAACTCATTAGGGTTGTTTTGAAAATTAAATAAGCTAATACAATGAGATGCCTGTAGAATGGTAACTCATAAATAGTAAGCTTATATTATTATAACTATTGTGTTTGTTTCTTATTATTCTTTCTCTAGTCCATTTGAAATTTATTTTCATTTGTGGTATCAGTTGGAAATTGAATTTTATGTTCTTTTTTATTATTGTGTGTGTGTGTTTTTGAGACATTGCTCTGTCCTCCAGGCTGAAGTGCAGTGACACAATCACAGCTCACTGCAGCCTCAACTTCCCCAGGCTCAAGTGATTCTTCCACCTCAGCCTCTTGAGTAGCTGGGATTGCAGATGTGTGCCACCATGTACAGTCAATTTTTAAAAAATTATTTTTATGGCTGGCTGCAGTGGTTCATGCCTGTGACCCCAGTACTTTGGGAAGCTGAGGTGGGCAGATAATGGGGTCAGGAGTTCGATACCAGTCTGGCCAACATGGTGAAACCCCATCTTTACTAAAAATATAAAAAATTAGCTGGGTGTGGTGGTGTGTGCCTGTAATCCCAGCTACCTGTGAGGCTGAGGCAAGAGAATCATGTGAACCCAGGAGGTGGAGGTTACAGTGAATCAAGCACCATTGCACTCCAGCCTGGGCAACAGTGTGAGATTCTGTCTCAAAAAAAAAAAAATGATTTTTGTACTGATAGTGTCTCCTGTGTTGCCCAGGCTGGTCTGGAACTCCTGGCCTTAAGTGTTATGTTTCATATGGAAAGCCAATTGTTGCCAAATCTCTGTTTAAAGTCTTTCAGTGGCTATTTGCTCCTAGTATCACAGTACAATTTTGTTTGTTTTTCGAGATGGAGTCTTGCTACACCAGCCAGGCTGGAGTGCAGTGGTGTGATCTTGGCTGACCGCAACCTCCGCCTCCTGGCTTCAAGCCATTCTTCGGCCTCAACCTCCGCAGTAGTTGGGACTACAGGCGTGCACCACCACACCTAGCTAATTTTTGTATTTTTAGTAGAGATGGGGTTTTGCCACATTAGCCAGGCTGCTCTTGAACTCCTGACCTCAAGTGATCCACCTGCCTTGGCCTCCCAAAATGCTGGGTTTACAGGCATGCGCCACTATGCCTGGACTACCACAGTATAATTCTTTATTTGATCTACTCTGCCCTGTGGCATCTGTCCCCTGCCTGTCTCTCACATTTCCCTTTTTTATCACTCTGTTTCTGTGGTTCGGACACCCTGCCTTCCTTTGTGGTCCAGGAACATACCAGTGTCTCTTCCTCTGTGGGGCCTTTGCACTTGCTATTTCTCTCTTCTTGGAATGTTTTTCTCCCCAAGTGATTCAGGCCTTCCCTGACCACCCAATAGAAAAGGTATCATTCCTCCTGCCCTAACAAACCAAGGCACTCTCTGTTTTATCATCATTTCATTTACTTTATTCCATCTTGTTTTACTCATCACACTTAGAATCTGAAATTTGTTTTGATTAATCGTCTTTCTTCCCCTGCTAGAATGTAAGCTTCACTGGAACAGAAACCCGTGGCTGTTTTATTTATTGCTGTATCCTCAAAATCTAGAATGGTGCCCAGGAAATGGTAGATAATACTTACTTTAGTGGGTAGTTTGTACTTTTCTCTTGATGCAAACAGGCTTGCTTTTTAGATGGATAACACTGGCTACAGTATGGAAGGTTGATTTGAGGTGCTGCAGAGTGATTTAGGATGGGGGCTGGCTGAACAAGGGCGGGAATGGCGGAGAAGGAGACATGCAGGAGAGCCGGCAGGCTGAGCCGGTATTATTAATGTGGGCTTGTGTGAGAAGATGCAGGTTTTCCCAGCTTGGAGCCCCGGCGTTGATTGTGTATCATGCCCGGGATTTCTTTTGCTGGCTTATCATTTCAGTCTCACATCAAACGTAACCTGCTCACAGAGGCCTTGCTGGGTTCCCCTCTGTAAAGTGGATCTCCAGAGACTTGGTACAATCAGTGGAGACGTTGAGATATTGAATACCCTGAGAATTTCAATGTGCATGCCAAACCTTTAAAGGTAGGCACTAAGGCCATTAGAATGTGAGCTCCAATGAGGCTGGAGTTCTCTCTCTTCTCTCTCACTGTGTCTCAGCTCCTGGCACATAGTACATGCTCAGCAAGTATTTATGGAATGAATCAATATTTGGTTTTTCTGTGGCTTCGTTTCCTGTTAACTTTGCTTTCCTACGTTGATGTGGTGATGATTTATTTTTTTTCCTTTGGGCCTAAACATTTAAAGCTATTTGTTTTGAATAATGTGTGTGTTTTAGAAGATGCTCTGCCAGATTGTGGTGCTGTTTATCTGCATGTCCGACGTCCGCCTTCTTCCCTGTGCCACCTCTTTTTGGGGTAGTTTGACTTGGCAGACATCCCTATCTTGTTAACCTGATATCTCTTCAGAAATTCAGTCACAGAGAAGCTTTCGGTGGGGGAAGAGTTCAAGTATGAAATCCGAAGATTTGATAGGCACTATTTCAAGACAGGTCTGTAGGACTATGGATGATAGAGAGGTAGGATAATTCAAATCAAGTCAAACATTTATTTAGTGCTTGCCGTGTGCAGGAAATTGTTAGTATATGCTACGGGGAATACTTCAAAGTTAATGTGACCTAAGAGCAGAAAAGGCAGCTGGAAAAGATGATCCCACTCCAGAACCACTACATTTACATTGGGACATATGGATGGAGACATCTTGGAAACAGATGTGATGCCTGGGAGACAGTTGGCTTTGAAGTGCCGAGGTCTAGCCTTGAGATTTTAAGAATCATCTAGAATGAGAGCAAACATTGAAAATGGCAACCTCAAAAGTACAGTAAGGTCCTGAATAATTCTTCAGAGATGAAAAGTATACTGCAGATTGTATTCACAGAGGGAGAAAGATGGACCCAAGGAGAAAATTTAAAAAAAAACAATGACGAAAAAGGTGGACTGTTTGGCTCATCTTAACTAGCGTATCAGCATTCTCCACTCCTCTTAGTGAGCACTTGGTAAATGTCTATGTCCTAGAATCAGCAGTCCACCTCTGACAGAAGTGTAGAGTACTCCATTCTGCAGGTGGCAGAGAACCTACCAAACTGCAGAGCTCTGGAGCTTCCATTTCCCCAGGTAGCCCAGGCGGGAAACCAGGATCTGTGATCCAAAGGCTCAGAACAAACGTTTCTTAGCTCCGAGCCTTCACACACAGAATGGAGTTGTGATTAATACTCTGGGAAAGGAAAGGAAGTTCTGCACATGTGGTGAGAAATGAAGCCAGGGTTTGAAACCAAGATGGTCAGGCCCTTCTCCACGTCGGCCTCTAGGCTGCCATTATTATATCACGCACAAGGAAGCAAAGTCCTAGGGCAAGAGACCCTCTGACAGAGGGAGCGGCAGGCGCGGCATCTGCGAGGGCTCTGCAAGCATTTGCGGATGTGGTGTGTGATCTGCGGGGGCCTCTGCTCTCTCTATGCTCAAACACTCCCAGCAGTCTCTCATGAGTTTGCCATGCTTGTGAGAGTGAAGGGTGGTTTTGCTCAAGACTGTGATAGGCAGCAAGCTCCTTAAATTGTAAACAGTCCTAGGAGTAGGAGCAATATTCACTTGCTGTACAGGAAGATTAGTTGAGTAGAAATAAGCGGTCCAGTCCATGGAGAAATATGGAACAGAGTGAGTATTTATAATGGTGCAGATGGGGTAGGACAGGAGAAAGCACAGAAAAATCTCAGAAAGGGAGGCTGGGTTGTGGTGGGTCTTAAAGAGGCAATCTGTTGGGTTTGGGGTGTCCTGTAGTTATGGGGCACAGACAAAAAGGAAGCAAGAGCATGCCAAAGAAAACTCTCACTGCTTCACCTTTTGGCCCCAAGGTCAGTCTTAAGTGATTAGGGAGGGGGCAGCCAGGCCACATGCTGATTAAAGTCATTTGTTCTGAGACATCTTCCTGGGGCTGCATCCCCTTCACACAAGCAGATGGGTTTTTCTTTTGGCTTGGGGAATTATTTGCTCTCAGGTTGCACATCTTCATAGGAGTGCTTGGCAAGTGTGGGTAAATGCCATCAAAAATCTGGCCTTGTTGTGAAGATGGTCTCTTAGCATGTACACAGCACTTAGCGCCTTGCCAGGTACCATGCCCAGAGTACAACTGCCAGGTACCATGCTTAATATCTCATTTAATTCCCAAACAACTCCATTAACAAGTTATATACCATAATTCCCTATTCCCTAATGTGGAAAGGAGGGCATCGAGAAGTCCAGCAGCTTCCTCACAGTCATCATGGAGCTGGGATTCAAACTCAGGTCCTTTTCTGCAAACTTTTTGATGCTAACCTCTACACACTTTGGTCTGATCACCAGGCATATTCTCCTTTCTGTTATGGTGGTGAGTTAACTGCTGGAATCCCAACACCCTGTTAATATGTGAAAGGTATATAAATTAGCCATTCTTGACCTTTTCAAATACCAAATAAATTTTAACAAGCATTTTTATAAAACTTTTATTACAATTAAAAAATGAACAAAGACAATTTGATAAGTGCCTTTAATTACAACATACCTGCTATATACATGTAATCATACTTTTATATATAGCTTGAATAGTTTTATTACATGTAAACGATAAGATATTACAAGTTAAACTGCAGTCTTTTCTGGATATTCAGAATTGAAATACTACTGGCAGAAACACACAGAAAACAAATATCCATTTCAGTTCCTCAGGTACCATTACTGGTTGAATGATCAAGATCTGGCCACAGAAGAGAATTGGAAATATGTATCAAAACGAAACTTACTCATAACATGACTAACAGTATTATTATTTAAACCCTAAACATAATTAATAATTGGATCATTAAAAACACAACTTCGATTTATATAGCACCTTTCTTCTGAAGAGTTGAAAGCATTCGTGCTTATCTCTATTTTCTCATTTGTCCCCATAATATCTCTATGAGGTAGGCAATGGTTGGTATCATTATCCCCATTCGGTATATGGAGAAACTGAGGCACAGAGAAGTTAAATCATTTGCTTGAGGTCACACAGTAAAGTTAACACTGGAACAGGGACCACAGCCCTGTGCTGTGTTTGCAAAACCAATGCTTCTCTTTAGATTAAATTGTCCTATATGAGAATTTAATTCAACAACCCAATATACTTTTCCAATAAATAAAAAAATGTGCATTTTTTCCACCCATAACAATTTTTGAAATATTATGAGCAAGACACAAACACTCAGGGATGGATAGTAGATGGATGCTACACTCTTCTAGAAAGAGCTTGTAGAAATGTTTTTTATTTTAATATGAGGAGTTTCTTTTCCTAGTTAAAACAAGATAGATGTCTTTACAAGAAATATATTTGAAAGAATGCTTCTAGTCACCTACCCAATTACAGCTCCAGTAGCCATATAATGTTATCTACAAACCAGATGTATTCCTGAGTTTAAAAAGAAGAAACAATCTAAACAAGAAGTTAAATCTTTGAGATATTTTTTCTCATTTACACACATCTGCTGTTACTCCTTAAGAGACTCAGAGTGGCAGACAAGGGAATTGGGCCGATACATTTCCCAGAGAGACATGAGAACTGAGACACACAAGGGCAGGAAGCTGGAATTTTGCTCTAATTCCTACTCCCTCTGCCACTACAGAGTCAACTACATGGTTGATACTTGAAGCAAAAAAAAAAAAAAAAAAGGTAACTTTTAAAAAGTGTCAAGGTTGGAAGCATACTAGAACGCTCACAAATGTTTGTTGACTTGAATGTAAAGTCAGCTTTCCTGCCGCTTTTCACATTGCTTCTCCTCAAGACCTGCGCACTGCTGCAGGTATGGCCATCTTCCAGGACAGGGGCAGGCTGTGGTGGAGCAGCACACAGGAATTAAATCCCAGCATGGCCCCAGGAAAAAGACAAGTCCCACATTCAAAAAGCGAAGTTAAAAAAAGCAAGCATGCTTAAGGGATGGGTCGTGAACACCACATCAGGCTCATTTATGAGTCTTCCATTAAAAATACATAGAAGCTTGTCAAAGGAATGTTCAAAATCCTCAACCCACAGACGCAGGTTGTTGGTCCTAGTCTCTTCCTCTAGGGAAAGCACTGCTGTCTTTCAGGGAAGCCTTCACTACCTAAATGAGGAGCTGAAGATTAAAAAAAATCTCTTTAAACTTAAGAAAAGGAAATAGTTTGCTTTAAACTCACGGTTTCCAACTTGTTGAGTTAAAAAACAAACCAAACCAAACCAGGACATTGCAACAAGACAGTTCTGAACGGCAGCTTCCAGGGACCAGCTGGTCCGTCTTTTAGCCTTGACTGTGTCCTATTTAGGGTTCCTAACAGGTATACTAGGTGAACTTTAAAAAACTAAATGGATAAAGAGAATGAGCAGGAATATCTGCTCTGCTAATTTTGAAAAAAATTACACACTAGAATATCCATTCAAAGAATTAACTGTGATGACTTACAGCAAAGTTTTAAAGGACCACAATGAAACACACCCTGGCTTCTGATGTATGTAGAAAATGAGAGCTTCAGCAGCTATCTCCCATTCACCTATCCGAGTACCTAGAAGGTACTTGGCTTCTCACTCTAAAATCAGACACTTTGCTATAAATGGCCAAGTTATTCTCCATATCTGGTAGCTCTATTTTGCATGCTGAAGCACTCTAGTTTTCCTAGGACCTGGGAGAGCAGAGCAAACCAGCTGTAACTTGACATCATCCTTAGGCACTGTTTCCTGGGGGAGAGGGTGCAATGGCTTCATAGCAAAAACATTTTACACTCAATTTACTTTAAAAATGGTGTTTTTTTTTTTTTTCCTCACTCTGTTGCTCAGGCTGGAGTGCAGTGGTGCAATCTCAGCTCACTGCAACCTCTGCCTTCCAGGTTCAAGTGAGTCTCCTGCCTCAGCCTCTCGAATAGCTCAAACTACAGGCACATGCCACCATGCCTGGCTAATTTTTAAAATATTTTTACTGGAGATGGGGTTTCATCATGTTGGCCAGGCTGGTCTCGAACTCTTGACCTCAAGTGATCCACCTGCCTTGGCCTGTAAAAGTGCTGTGATTACAGGCATGAGCTGCTGCATCTGGCCTAAAAATGATTACTTTTTATGAGAAGGATTTCTTCCCCTTCACAATCCTCAGCTTCTGTTTTCTTCCCTGGTAACTGCAGGTCTGCTGTTGTCATAAGGATCTACCTTCCACATGCTGGACAGTGGGGGCTGCTGCTTCACTGGAACTTGAGGAGACCCAGGCCAGATACAAAGCACTGCCAGGGACACTGAGCTTACTTGGATAGAGCATGGCACTCACATTTCTGCCTTTGTGAGTTTGATTCCACCACATATTTTTTAAAAGTTCTTTTCCATGGCCCCTCAGTGTGAACCATTCTTATAAAAGAGGTGAGCAACAGTATACATGTTTTAGCAAAACCCATGACAAATAGCAGTAGCACCTGCCGCCCTAGGTGGACCTGTGGCCTCATCCTGGCAGCTGTGACGAGGCATGTTCTATACCAGCTGGCAGAGCCTGTGATATGGCAGCATGGTGATCAGTCCTGGAAAGACATAATGGCACGTCCTGTGAATCGTAGACTCAGAAGGCTGAGTGAAGAAGAGACCCAGCCAGGGGTATTGCTATACAAAGTGACAGTCCAGCTAAGTACCAGGAGGCAAACCGAGGTGAGAGGAAATAGTGACTTCATGGCCTAATTCTTTAGACTTACTCCTTCAAAGGACTAGAGCTGGGGAGGGAACAGTAATCACAAAAATGTTTAAGCTAATAAGAGATATTTTTGGACTTAAAACTAAGGTTTACAAATTCCCAGTACTGAAAACAACTTTCTCACTCTTTTGTGGATTGGACAATTTGACCATTACAAAGACCTTTTGAAACAATGAATGAAAATGCTACTAAGTGGTCATGAATTATTTTTTTTTAACATTTTTGAGTAAGGGGAGTACTTTAATACTGATTGGGCCCATGTAATAGACAATATGTCACTTTTGGTATAACTTTTTATGAGGAAAAAATGTATTAATAATGAAATGCCAATTCCTATTTTTAACAGACCTTTTTTAAGCTATATTTCAAGTTTTCCCAGAAAATATGAGGCATGTTAATACAACACAATTATTTAAAAGGTAACAACATGAAAACATTTTACTGCTGCCAATGAAACATACAGTCATCGAGAAATGACAATCAGCAACCTCTGTCATACATGATTATGCAAGGTGATATGAGGCAACCGAAGCACAGCACAGTGAACAGAATACCCACAGTATATAACTGGCAAGCCAAAAAAAATCTTCCTGCGTTAGGAGGAATGATTACGGAATTTAATGCTTTTTTAAAACTGTCTTTTAAACACAAATTGTATTTCTCTTTTCATGTTACATTAAGAAGAATTTGGAATATTATTTTTCAGTTAAGTCAAAGAAAAACTTGAAGAAAATAATGACATACCTCACAAATAGTAGAGACGGGATGTAAACACAGACCTAAAAATGAGCACTAGGATAATGCAAACAAACATGAATGGTTGTTCTCTTCTGGACTATGATTTTAAATTTTAATTTGGTAATTCCAGATAAAGATTCTAATTCATCATGGTTTCTGGACTGATCTCTTTAAGTTAAACACTTTCAGTCTAAGTGTGTTCAACTTGCCTAAAGCCACTGTCAGGAAAAATGTGCTTAAGAAAAGATACAACACAGGGCAAGGAAATAGTACCGCAGAATAAGGAATTTCGATTTCACTGCAAATATAGCCATATTTGATATTATAGACACATGCTCCTATTTTCACATCAGTCGCTTATTAACACCAAACACTACACTTCAACTTTTCCCCATTACATAGTACAATAAGCCTGTCAAGATTTCCAGGAAATAACCATCAGTACCTACTGTGCTTCCAGCAGCCAAAGCTAAGCTGGCTGGGTACCGTAAATCAATAGCTTCAGAAGAATGGCATCACAAGATTGCACGGACTCATATTAACTACTATAAGGGGCACTAAAAAAAAAGGTAATTTGCTCATTTACAAAATCTGAATTCAAGATCCTAATTGAACTAAAGCTCTGTAATTATAGCCACGGTATCAGACCAGCTTTTGTGCGCATCCTATATGACATTGCTGCCTGCAGATGTTTCACACTACCTGTAAAAGCTCTCAGTTTTAAAAGGGAATGAAACAGGATGCCACAGGTGACCGACTTCTGCTACTGCTCCTTGGGAGTTACCTTGCCCTGGCTTCATCCTGGCTCAAGGCTACCCCTCTCTTTAGGCCAAATCTCTTCTCAAACACTTATCTGAGAAGTACCCTCTTTACATGTCCTCCTCTTATGTTGAGTCAGAAGTCAGTCACATATATAACAAAATAGTCTTAAAATACCACTGTTTTTCAGCCAAGGGAATTATAGATGCAACTTAACATCTAAATGTATTAATTGGAAAAATTAAATGAGAGCAACTTAAGATCTTCCCATAATTACCAAATGAAAATGATTTAAAAACTGTTCCTTCCAATTCTGCTTTTCTGACAAAAGTTCATCATACTAGCAGGATAAACATTCAAAATACATAATAGAACATATCCTAATTTAGCACCAGAATTGTGTCAGAGCCAAGTTATACACACACATATATGTATGTGTGTATATGTGTGTGTGTGTGTGTGTGAGTGTAGTTTGTTACTGGTTAAGGTAAGTAAATGCTGTAATTGGCAAAACAAAAATCAAGAGAAATATATATAGTGACATAATGTGGTTAAATTTCAGTTATCTGTGTTAACTACTTATTGTTAATTTAGTACTCAATTAGAATTAACTCTGGGATTTTGAGGGCAGATAAATCAGTAATTAGCCTTTTTCCCACAAAGAATAGTGGTAGCTTCAAAAGCTTTAGCAGACATAATTATGTAATTTATTCAGGACAGAAAAAACATATGTAGCCAACATTCTTGTAAGAATTGCTTTCTTATAGAATTTAAGATTTCCTCAAACATTTTCTTTTCTATATAGCATTTTGTTCTTGTGTAGTTATCTGCCTAGGATACAGACAGGATATTGAAACTATTTCAGTAGACACACTAAAAAATTTTGACAAATTAAAAAATTTCACATAAAACAGGTTACCGTTTCCTGCTGACTATACTTAAGAAATACCAAAAAACAGCATACAAAATGTTTCTAAGCTTTCAAAATACCTCAATAAAAACAAAGATTCTACTTTTAACTGAGATAGATTTATAATTCTTACTTATGATAAAAACATATCCTAAAATTTATTTTTAAATTTCACATAACCTATTACCATTGTTTGTAAAAATGGATGTCAAGATAGAATTTTAAATATATTGTTTTGACAACTACCTTTCATACATTTTATTTAAACTGCAGTTATTAGCTCAAGATGAAACTTTTTTAAAGAAGCCATAGGCTTTTGTCCAACTCAAAGATCTAAGCACAGATTCTGAACAAAGCAAATGTGATGAAATTTATGAAAAACTATACTATACAGTCCAAACGGTGATGGTGCCTCACCATTTATATGAAGTTTATATATTGAAGCAAATATACTCCAATAAAATAGCCGGTGTTCCAAAGAGCTGAGCAATCTTACTAAGGCTTACTCTGCTTCTCTCTCCGCCAACCCTCATGGCCTGTGCTACAGTTATTCTTTTATCGTTTTTGCTGGAGGGCCTTACAGAGTTCCTTTAAAAGTCCACTGAAAATGCTTATATCACAACTTATTCTAACCACTCGTTCTCAAATTAAAAGATGTATTTCAGTGTATATTTGGCCACATTGCAGAACTAATATTTGAAAACTTCTGGGTGAAATTTTGGTAATGAAATTGTAAAGTGACATAATTATTTATGAGCTTTCTATTAAAAGAGTTTTTTTACTTTAGAGATCATACCCACTTTCCTGGTGATAAGTAAGGCATGATATGAAACAAAATTTTTGAGCTGTAAGGTGCCTATAGAGGATGTCATTACAGCATGCACAGTGCTAGGTGTGTAACATGACTTGGCTGTTACTATGTACTATAGAACCCAGTCACGTGAGAGATTGCTGGGTCAAAGTCATTAATACAAAGGAGTGAAAATCACCAGTCAAAAAGCAGTGCTTGGCAAAAAGCAGAGATTGGAATTCAGACAAATGCAAGGTACAAACTTCTCTCTAATCTAAGGGTATTCTGCCATGATCTTCTAATCAATGATGATTGTGCTTATGCACATGATATCTTCGTGGGAGAGACCAAGGTGATTGAAAAATAATGCCAGCCAGCCAGTTGACCCCAACATAGCTCACTTCACAACGTCAGAAGTGCAACGCAGAGCAGTCACAAAGTCAAGCCATGAATACAGGGATGTAAAAACATTCCAATGAGCTGGTCTCTACAATTTTTAAGACGATTCATCCTCCCAATTATATGCTTTGTCATAAAGAAGAAAAACAGCTAGATTATTAAATCCAAAAAGTCACAGGTGTCACAATGGGATGAAGTAATTTGCTCATTTTTTTTCTTTATCTGTGTAGGAAAATCTGCCTTTCCATAGCCCACACTCATAATAGCACTTCAGCTAGGCTCCTTTGAAAATGAAAAGTGAACAAGTTTCCTAATGCTGGCCTTATAAGATAAGATCTAAAGAGATGATTAGATTCAAACCAGGCTGAGCTCTTAATCTGAGTTATTTCAGCCAGTGATGTTTATAAAATATAGGGAAAAGATTCCAATAGACGATTTGCACAGGTAAGCACTGGAGTGCAGAATTCATCACTGTTTTCTGAAAAAATGTAATTAAACCTTAATGGAATTATGACACTTTTATGAGATTTATAATTCACAGCCACCTCTGATCATATATTTTGTTCTTCTTTCCATTTTTACCGTTTCAAATAATTCAATATTGCCCACCATAAGCCACTGAAAATGATTATTTATGTCTAGTCCATTTATTTCTCTAGGGGTCTAGGTAATTTAGATCAGGAGCTCCAAGTACCATTTAAAAAGGTGTCTTTAAAAACCATCAATGTTTTAAACATCTGATAAGAAAAAAGATAACAGCTCCTTGTAATGACCTAACTTATGTGCTTTATGATATCTTTTAAAAAGGAGAGTATAAATCATTGTACCTAAAATCAAAATAGTTAATATACATTTTTTCTGGCACTTTTGAGAAAGTAGGCATTAAACATAAAACATCTTATAAACTCACATAACAAAAATAAATGTTTACATTTTAATCTTAGATGACCTTAGGATAACAGTTAACTTATAAGATGCCACAGTTAGTGTGGGCAGCGGAGACCATGGGAAACACACATTCATGTCCACAGCCCTTCAGAGATGGATGTATGGCTGCCGTCCAAATATGTGGTCTGTGTCCCAACATAAAGATTAAGGCTCTCTGTTTTGAAGGAATGAGCTCTGGGCTTAAACCTGTACAGAAGTACCACAATACTCATGGAAAATACTGAAAAGGCTTGGATGAGTTTTCAAACATTGGGGGGAAAATGTTTTTGACTAGAAAAATAAAATAAAGCATCTAAAACTGACTTCAAGTACTTTGGGGAGAGGCTGCTGATAGAGAGTGCCAAAATAAGAAGAAACAAAGATGGAAGAGACTCCAGGGACGTCCCTCCCCAATCCCATTCACCTGCAGGGTCCAGATCCCCAGGACTGGTGAGCTGGGCAGAAAGCTGCACCCACAGTTTGTTGCCATCCTAAGACACCTCCATTGAAGGCAAAGGCCAAGCCTTGTGTGAAAATTTCCTTGGAATGAACCATAGAAATCTGGACATTTTGAGGGGGAAAAGCTTTACATTTTAAAGTCAATAGCAGACAGAGAAAAGGAAAGAGGGGAAGAAAAACCTGGCTCTTCCAAGTGGCAGTACATTAGGCGGGGGGCGTTGTGGTCCTTGGAGAGTGCAGTTTTTCCATACAGCCTAGCTTTCCTCACTAATAGGATGAGACCACTGACAGCTGGGATCTTTTGTGGGCGTGAAGGTGCAGGAGGGAGATATGCTTGGGCGTGCCTGTCCGTCTGGCAGGAAGGGGCACACTCAGGTGCACCTGGTCCGTACCTCTCTGTCTCAGAAACTGAACAACTGGGAGAACAGTCAGGGCCTCTCCAACCAGCTTCAGGTGACTAAAGCAGCATGTGAAGTATAGGTCTGTGTCACTTCTTCTCTTTCATGGAAGAAACGTCCCCAGATGCTGATCGTCACAGGCTACCCAGGGCTGTCTTCTGGGTTGCTAGAGCCTGGTGACATCTCTGCCTTGCTGCAAGTCACTAATGCTCTCATAGTCGTTTTCCTTTGGGACGAGACTGTGGTGGCCATTGGTCCCCAGGGTGGCCTTTTCTTCCTCTCTGTTGAGAGTCTGTATTGCTTCATAATCAGGCTCTGGCTCCTCGCCAGGCCTCCCTGCTGGTGGAAGTGTGCTGTTTGAAGTTTTTTCGAAGTCTTTAACAGTAGCATAGAGATCATTACAGGAGGAAGGTGACCTCTGAGGGGCCCCTTGAATGGAGGTGTAGGTGGACTCTGGCACCGTAAGCGACTGTCCCAATTTATTCACTAACTGTCCAGGTTTATTTACCGATGAGTACATGGCTGAGATCTAGGAAACAAAAGGAGGGTTGAATAAACTTCCAGCTGTGACTCCCTCTCCCCCTTTTTAGTGACAAGCTACATACTGAGCACTCTGGGCTTCTGTGTGTGTGTGCTCCTTAAAGATTTGTTCTTTCTTATCCGTACTAATTATGGAGCACATTACTAGAGAATAATTATACACATTATCTTCAACTGTGTTAACTAGATCAGTCATATTCCCTTGATTCCATGAAAACTCAGTTCTCTTGGGTCTGCAGAGGAATTTGAGGAGAGGCGGAGTGGGAAGCTCCTCGAGCCTCTGGGGACCTGACCACAGCATTGTTTTATTTCACTTCCACATCAGAATGATATTTTGCCTAAAAAAGGGCTCCACTGCTTTACAAAAAAGGATGGAAAACACATAGTAGACCAGTGGTTCTCAAAGTGTAGGCTGTAAACCAGCAGCAGCAGGAGCTGGGAATCTGTTAGAAAGGGAAATTCTCAGGCCTCACCCCAGAGCCCCCAAATCAGAACCTTGGGGCTGGGGCCCAGCAACCAGTGCTGATTCTGAGGGCCAGTAAAGTGTGAGCGCCACTGAATTAGACTACTACATGCTTCCTGCATCACAGGGTCTCCAAGAGCAGTGGCTGGATGCTCATTGGTGGCACACATATATTTGAAAGGGTATTCCTATTATTATTGTTATTATTATTCTGAGATGAAGTCTCCCTCTTTTCTCCCAGGCCGGAGTGCAATGGTGGATCTCGGCTCACTGCAACCTCCACCTCACAGGTTCAAGAGATTCTCTTGCCTCAGCCTCCCGAGAAGCTGGGACTACAGGCACCTGCCACCACGCCTGGCTAATTTTTATATTTTTAGTAGAGATGGAGTTTCACCATGTTGGCCAGGCTGGTCTTGAACTCCTGACCTCAGGTGATCTGCCCACCTCGGCCTCCCAAAGTGTTGGGATTACAGGCATGAGCCACCACCACGCCTGGCCATTATTTTTTAATTTAGTTGCATATTATTGGGTAAACAGACATTGACAGTCCAGATCTAGTTTTCTTCAGTGGGAAAATTCATTCTTGCTTGCAACCAGCCAAGTCAGAAATGATAACTTACAGAATACCACTTCCTATGGTAAGAGCCAGTGGCTTTCCAAGCACACCCTCCCAGTCTCACTAATAAATCCTGTATCACCTCTGATATCAACAGAGATTTCATTCATTGTGAAGGTTAAATGTATTGATTAGGAGACTTTTGGGGAGTATTATTTTATTGTGAAAAATCATGGTTGGAAATAAGTAAAAATATCCTTCATTATTATACCTGTGTTTATTTTTAACACAGTGATTTGATTCATTCAAATACCCAGGATATACATGAACACGCTTCCTGACAGGTGCTTGGCTTCCCAAGTGCCAAGGGACATTTTCCTGCTTTCACTTTTCTCACATACTGCAGGTGAAGTTTCCAGCCGGCCTCAAAAGCTTCTTAAGACAGGCTTGCCACATGCTAACTGGTCATTTGCATGAGAACTTTTCAATACAGGCTGGTGGCTGGCTCACTTTGGTTAGGCCTTCGTGATCTAAGGGTAACAGTTCAGAAAAACAGTCTTTGGAAAACTCTTGCCATGTGGGTCTGACTATCCTAATGAATATTAAATTATTAACATTCTCACCTTAGAGATTTTAATTTAAAAAACTTCTCTCAAAATAGAAGAATTAAAATTCAAAGAAATTTCTTTGAATTTAAGGAGAATAAAAAAAATTCACTGCTGTTTATAACGAAGTGCAAACACAGAATTTATTCTCTAAATGGTGGTCCAAGCCAAAAATTATATATGGACAGATTATAAAAGGGTAAACAGTGGATGACAGTGGTGAGGGGAGACAGCACGCCAGTTTATTCATCACTTTCAAAGGTAACATCAAGGAGGACAAACGCACCTTGACCTAGATCGCAACAATGAGAGTCAGCTCCTCACCACCGTTTGCCTCTCTTCTCAACTTTCTTCCCCATGGTCCCTGCCATTAATGCCCCTCACTCTTTGTAAGGGTGCTTGGTCTTCTTGGCCTTTGTCCTCATTCATTAACTTGCAAAATAATATTGACTCTGGGAATGAACCTAGTGTGTAGAGGATCTCACTGTACATTTCAACTTTTATGAAAGCTTCTTGAGTCTTCTAATATTCCTTTTGATAATTTGTTTTCTATAAGTACTATTTTTATTTTGTATACAGGTTTCTCTTTCAGTCTCCTTGCTATTTAGCTTATCAATTTTTCTCTTTAAAACTTTCATCTTCTTTCCTCAGTCTGTAAATTGTTGCTACAGTCTCATAAGTTACTCTCTTCCTTTTCCCCGTTTCTCTTCTTTTTATAATCAATCATTTCCACAACATTCTGTTAAATTGGCATAACAATACTTAAAGCTCAGATCTCAGTTTCAGACTGAACTGTTTAACATATACACATACATATACATTTACTGGCTTTAACAACTTTAACACTTCACCGAAAATCTAACCTGTGGATTTTGCTCCCTGATGCTTGGGAATACGTGATCTGCTCTTGTTGGCTGCTATGTCTGACCCTAGCTCCAGCGTGGAACGGTACTTACTGAAGTTTTCTGCTCTCAGCCTCCACACAGAGACCTCCTCTTTCTGTCTCCCAGGCAGGAGCAAATTCCCTACACCCACCTGTTCTAATTTCCCGAATTTTCCAACTCACAATTCATTTCCTTCTGATATGGTCTTCCTGACTGCTGACTGCTCCCATGTGGAGTTTCTCTCTTCTCACTCTCCTCCCCTGCCCTCTCTATTTTTCCTGACCCTGACCCTGCTTTCCTGCTCAGTTTCCTTTCCTAAGCTGACTGCTTGTCCTGCCATCCTTCTTGTCTTACAACCTGCCCATCAGTCTCTCTGAGCCATTATAAAACCAACAACCCAAGTCTTGATCCAAACATAGGTGTAGAGAATATTTCAGCCCTTTCAAAGGGTAACATTACATTGCATTTATTCAAGAGGAGAAGCTCTATTCCTTACTACAGGAGTTTTCTCTTTTCAAGAAGAAACAAAACTTACCTCTTCTTCTGTGAGAGTGGGGTCTTCTTCCCGAGACTTGTATGACAATGAGCTAAATCTCTGTTGGAACAAACACAAGCCAAGGAAAGCAGTTCAACGTTAATATCTGACCTTTCTTTTGCACATGTTTTCTCTTATCTGTCTGAAAATGTCTTCAAATGATTTTTAGGGAACCACAAAGAAATTATGGGAAGCACTGAGAAACAAACACTTAAGCAATCTATTACTACATGTACAATGTTCAGTGATATCTACTAGCATTATCCTTAGAGAAATTTCCTCTCATTTTGTATTTGGATCTGTAGGTACAAATAAGCCAAAATAATTATCTATACTACTGTTTCAATTCCTAATTGTCACTGAAAGATTGGTCATTCATGGAGGACTAATATTTAAAAACATGGTGTTTCTTTATTAAATGCCTGAATTTTATACTTCTACAGTTTGCAGGCATCATCAGAAAGATCCTTAAGTCATCTGGAAATGTCAAAGCTAATAGAGAAATGGACTTCCATTTTGTGTCTTCCCCCCTGCCTGATTTCTCAATGATTTTGGCTCTTGGTTTACTGATTCTCTAACACATCTTTTGTCTTAATTTTTGGTGACCTCAACAAATGTGTATCCTTCTAACTCCCACCTTTAGTTCCTTGACTTGCCCTGGCCCCACTGATCTTGTGCTCTCTCTGTGTTCCCTCTCCATGCCCACCCCTGACCTTGGCACCCTCATGGCTGCACACCAGGCCTTTCTAAACCACAGCCTCTCCACCAGCCCAACTCCCTGCAACCCTTTCAGACCAGCGCTCATTGTCAAAGCTTACTCCTGTAACCCAGTTCCAATGCTCTTTCAACACCACTGGGACCCATTCATGTTTTCAACACCTGCTCTTCTCCTTGGTGTCCTTTACTGCTTTACTAAGCTCAAGTTCCATAGTCAACTGCCAATCATATGTGAACTTAATTCTCTAGTGAGCCCTTACAGCAGTTTCGTATCATCCGATGCTTCCCCAGTACACCCCGTCTCTGCTCAGCTCAAAGTCTACTTTGCATTTTCCCCTCTTCACCCCAAACTTCCAACACCTTCTCACCCATCTTCACTCTGAGCAGATGACCTTGCTTCCTAGTTGGCTAAGAAAACTGAAGGAATCATAAGAAATTTCTATGAACTCCTACCCTTACCCTCAGCTTCTTCATTCATTTTCTCTTTGTTAAATTGTGCCAACAATTCTCCCAGTGCGGGACCATTCCAAGCCACATGCAAACATGCTGCATTCTAAAAATAAAACAAACCCAGTCCTACTCTGAAATTCTACCTACTCATTATCTCACTTCCTTTTTTTTTTTTTTTTTGACACAGGGTCTCATTCTGTCATCCAGGCTGGGTTGCAGTGCCGTGATCTTGGCTCACTACATTCTTGATGTCCTAGGCTCAAGCCATTCTCCCACCTCAGCCTCCCAAGTAGCTGGGACTACAGGCACACACCACCATGCCCAGCTAATTTTTGTATTTTTTATAGAGATGGGGTTCTGCTGCATTGCCCAGCCTGGTCTCAAATTCCTGGTTTCAAGTGATCCACCCACCTCAGCCTCTCAAAGTGTTATGATTACAGGCATGAGTCACTGCACCCAGCCTGTCTCACTTCTTTATAGCAAAATCTTTTAAAAAGTCAGCCAAACAATTTTTCTCTTCTTATTCTCTTTCTAATCCATTTCGGTCACATTTCTGCCTCTACCACTCCCCAGAGACTGCTCTTCTCAAGGGCACCAACGGGACTTATCTTCCCTGCCCTATCTGCTTCTCTCAGCAGAGCAGCCCGCCACTCCTTCCTCCCTGGACATGTCCTTCACTGGCTTCCAGGACTCTACAACTTTCCTGTTTTTGTTTCCTACCTTGGTCTCGTCTGCTGGTTCCTTTTCCAGATCTCTACTGTTGGAACTCTTCCAGCCTCTATATACACTCACCTATCCTGTGACCTCATCCAATCTCCTGGCTTTTAAAGCCACATTCTGTGGATGACTCCCACATCAGCAAATCCAGCCCTGCCCTTTCCTCTTAACCTGGCTTATCAATCCAGCTACCATCTGATTAGCTCTGGTTGGAAGTCCAATTGGTATCTCAAGCTAAACATATCCAACACTGAATGCTGGATCTCCCCGCAAAACCTGCTCTTCATTTCAGTTAATGGCGATTGCATCTTTCCTGTGCGTTGGACCCAGCCTCGTACTCATCACTGCCTCTTCTTCATTTCACCACACGTAGGATCCATCAGCAAATCTATTGGCTCTGGCTTAGCTTTTCTCATCACCTCTGCTGCCTCTGCCCTGATCCAGGCCACCACCATTTCTGATCTGGTTTATTAGCGTCGCCACCCAATTGGTCTCCTCACTTCCACCCTTTATAGTCTATTTCAAAACTGGAGGCAGAGGGATCCTTTGAAAACATAGGCCAGGTTGTGCCATTCTGCTGCTCAGAACTCTAGTGACATTATTACTGTTCAGACTATAAGCCAAGGCCATCCAGGATTGAGCCCTGGTTCCCTTTCTCCCCACTGCTGTCCTTGCTCTTCCCTCTCCAGCCACACCAGTCCCCTTCTTTTTCCCTTTAAAAGCCAGGCAAGCTGTAGCCTCAGGGGCCTCACACTGGTCATCCCCTCTGCTTCATGTGCTCTTTCCACAAAAGCACAAACCTCACTTCCTCGCCTCCTTAACTCAGATGTCACTGTCACCTTTATAGCTGGGCAGATCCTGACCACTCTATCCAAAACTGTACTCCCTACCTGTTTTCTCAGTCCTTCTTATTCAGTTCTATTTTTTTTCTCTTATAAACTTTAAATTTTATGTCTGTCTCTTCCCATTATAAGTTCCACAGAGCAGGGATTCTGTTCATATACCTGATTTGTTTCCAGCACCTAGAAGACTGTGTGGCACACAGCAGGTGCTCATTAAGATCTTTTGTTAAATAAATGAATGAATATTAAATACTTCAAACTCTCAACTCATTTAAAATTGGGGTTGTTTATATAAAGATGATGGATTACACATTTTTTACTATATTGTGGAAAGAGAATTTTGTTTCCAGATGAGTATTTCCAGTTTCTAATGTGAAATCTGGGAGAACTGTTTATGAGCAATGGTTAGACAACTCATCTTCGTATCTTTCTAATGCTTGTAAGTAAAAAGCTTAATCTGGTTTAGGCAGCATGAACTTCACATCAGGTTTATTGTCTTTGGTTATATGAAGGGCAAAAAATTGGACTGCATTTTTGCATTTTATGAACATGTTCGTAAACCCTTTTAGTGGTGCTCTCAACAGCTGATTTCATGGATAATACAAAAAGTTGAAATCCATTCAGAGAACAGCACAAAGAACGACTTTCTTGGTCTAACTATACAAACAGAGTATTCACCTCTGTCCATGAACTACGGAAGGTTTTTAAGGCTACTAGTGACTGGCTAACCTGCTACTTGCATCTACTAAAATCTAAATAGAAGAGATAACCTTGCTCTCTTTCTGTGTAGAAAATAGAAATTAGATATTAGTTGCCTGAAGTAGATGGGGCTAGTTAAATCCCAAAGAGATTTTGACAACTAGGGATGTGAACTTCACTGTAGCGCAGATATCAAGCTAACAGATGCGCACAGAAGGCTGTGGATTGCTAATGCATTTTAGAGATTTGTTGAATATCTAAATTTAGGAAGTACACGCTATAGTTTAGAAATGGTCACAAAATAAGATCATCTATTGATTTATATGAAAGTTTATACAATCAGACATAACCGTGGGTGCCTGCGAGTTGGTTCTCGTGGTGCCTGTTGCTATGCATGCTGATTTTGGGGATCCTGGAAGGGTAAAGGTCACCATGCTGCTGAGGTAGTCAACAAGCAGAATAGGTAAGATCTGTGGGCAATGAGTCTAGTCTCTCTATTTAGCTCCTGGACTTCAAAATGAAGCAAATGAGACTTGGCCCTAATTAGACATGATGGAAAAAATGCGAAAATATCCAAGTAAGGTGCTGAGAGAGAAATATGTGATAAATGCAAGTTTTTGGTATTTTATTACTTGGAAGGGGAAAAAGCCAAACACAGCTTCCATGAAAACAGCTCTCATCGTTCAACAAACTGGAAAGTGTTTGCAGATATTTCCCAGAACAACCCAGGACCAGCTAGATTCCTAAGCAGGACAGGAGCCCACAAAGGCAAAACAAAAACGCCAGCACTCACCTTGTTAGTTTCACTGGTCCTGTCTGTGGCATTCTCTTCTGCCTCTCCCTCTTCTTTCTCCTGAAGGTTTTCATTCTCGTCCAGAAGCTTCACCGGGACAGGTGGTGGGGCCTCCTCTTCTGGATCATATGAATTTCCAAGAATACTCTCTGCGTTAACACTTTGGCGACATTTTTTGTTTCTGTCCACCGAGGCATATTCAGCAAACTCAGCTTTCCCTTCAGTCTGGGGCGCTGGGAGCTCTTTCAAGGCAGAAGTAGACTTCGTCTTGCCACTGTGGCCTTTCTCCAGGTGTGCAGCTGCAGCCACCTCCTTGATCTCTTTCACAGTTTCATACAAGCAGTCCTCCACCATGTTTTCTTGGGAGGAGCTGTCCTTGAGCACTTCATAGGGCCCTTCTGTCCCCAGCCCCTGGTCCCCGTCCACACTTCTCGCCGTGAGCATGCTATCCACTGCACTCTCAGGAGGGATCCTGGGCAGCTCCCGACTCTGATGACATTTTGGCTTCCCTGTGCTGTCCTGGGAATCCAGCAGATCTGAAGCCGACGTCTGGACTTCCTCGTAATGCTGCATGCAGGTCAGAGTACTGTCCTCTGAAAGAACTAAAGCAAGCAGACATATTAAAAGTGGAGAAAGGCAAGTCTTTCAAAAATCACTACTGAGAATCATGTAATATAAAGTTAGGTTAAATCAAGTTGCATTCTTTTAAGTCTTTGGTACAAATTATAGTTGTTATGACCGTCAGTATCCTACTTTAATCACGGCTTAAAATAAAGCTGTCCATTATATCTCTCACAATATAATATTTGGTAAGTTATCTTGGGTATAAATGTAGTTCACAGTTACTTTCCTCAGTTAATGCTACTCCTGATGAGAGTCTTGTAGGCAGTGTCTAATGTGACTAGAAGGTGACCAGGTTGATGCAGCCAAACTATGGGATGCTGGACTCCAGAAATGGGGCACATGCAATGACCACACTCCCCAGCCCCACTGGCCCCTGCCTGTGTGGAGGGAACTACTGGTAGCCACCCCTTTTACACAGATCACTTTTGCTTGGCAGACATAATGGAAATCACAGGGCAAATAGCACTCTTCAGCCATTAACACAAAAGGACTGGCACTTCATACCCTTCTTCCATCTCACCCTGCCAGCAAGATTCCTACCTCAAATTGGAAAAAACCAAATGTGAGATTCTTGGCCAGCCACAGATATGCTGCAGTGTGGAGCCATTCAGCTGTCCCTTTGTCAACTATGTTGTGAGTGCCTGCCATGTACCAGGGATGGTGCAGGGTGTGCAGACACATCGTTCAATGCAACAGAAAGCCCTGCCCTTAGGATGCGGACACAAAGCAAGCAAGTTATTCCATTAGTGTCTCACTTTGGGGGAATTAGAAATAATGTCTCTGGGCTGGGCGTGGTGGCTCACCCCTTTAATCTCAGCACTTTGGGAGGCCGACGTGGGCGGATCATGAGGTCAGAAGATTGATACCATCCTGGCCAACATGGTGAAACCCCATCTCTACTGAAATATAAAAAATTGGCCAGGCGTGGTGCTGTACACCTGCAGTCTCAGCTACTCAGGAGGCTGAGTCAGGGGAATCACTTGAACCTGGGAGGTGGAGGTTGTAGTGAGCCAAGATCGTGCCACTGCACTCCAGCCTGGCAACAGAGCAAGACTCTATCTCAAAAAAAAAAAAAAAAAAAAAAAAAAAAAGAAAGAAAAGTGTCTCCAAGGGGTACATGAAGAAATGACAATGCATCCCCCAATCCTTCTGAACTTACCAACACTCATGTGTGTTCAGAATCCCTGATCATCATGGAGGGGTAAACTTTTGCTCTCTGGTTCTAGCTGTCTACATCATGGTGGACAGAGAACAGGCACTGGTGTCCTGACTACCCCACCATTTCCTTATGGGTAAACAGGGGTAACAGGATGCCCTCCTACCTCAGGTGAAAGCATGGTGTAAACTCTAAAGTGTGAAGCAAATGTAGCTGCTCTTTCCATCAGCAAGAGCATACAATGCATGACGTACATGTTATGCAGAGTGGCTGAGTATGTGCCCAGGGCTCAGACTGCCTGGTTCCAATGACAGATCCTCAGCCCGCTGACTCTATGATATCAGGAAAATTAGCAACATTTCTGTGGAAGGCAGAACCACCCCGAAAAATATCTGCCTCCTAATTCCTGGAACCTGTGAATGTGTTATGTTATATGGGGGTATGGAGGGACTAGGGTTACAGGTAGAAGGCTGCTAATTAGATGACTCTGGGATGAGAGGGAAGTCAGATGATCCAGGTGGCCCAGTGTAATCACAGGGGTCCCTATAAGTGAAGAGGGAGGGGGAGGGTCAGAGAAGGATGTGAATGAGGGAAAGGCCAATGGATTCTCCTTGAGGCTTCAGGAAGGACTGCAGGTCTAATGATGCCCTGATTTTAGCCTAGTGAGACCCATTTCAGACTCCTGACCTCTGGAATTGCAAGCACATTTTGTTATTTTAAGGCATGAGGCTTGTGGTAATATTGTTACAGTAGCAATCTGCCCAGTTTTGTCACCTTTAAATTGTGAATAGTAATAACAGCTATCTTAAAAGGTACTGATATTATTATCAACAGCAGTAATCTCATGGGGTTAGAGTAAAGGAATTAGCATACCTACAAGTCTTAGAACAATGCCTGGCACGCAGAAGTGTACGAATAAGTAGTATTATTCACCCAAATGAGGTGTTCTGCTAAAACTGCTAGTAATACTAACAGTGGGCAACAACACATTTCCTACTTTTTGAGCTACACATTTTGAAACCTTGGACTTTCATAGGTGATGAGGCCCGTGCCGAAAGCTGGTATTTTTGCAGAACTTACTGTCCCCATTGGTGAGTGCCCCATTCTGCTCACTGCTGACAGGGGCATCTGTTGCCAGGCTAGTAACTGAGCGGCTGAACATCTCTTTGTCTGAAGGCTGAAAAACAACAACAACAATAACAACACATGCATCACATCGCTAAGAATCGGGACTGCAGAGGAGAGGAGAAGATCCGAGGCTTTAAAAAAAATTAAAACAGCAGAAACAGAAAACAGAGTCTCCTCCAGTAGTCCCCTCACCCAGTTTCCTTATCAGCAAACAGGGGTTAACAGGATGTCCTCCTACCTCTGGTGAAAGCATGGTGTAAACAGAGAACACATTTCAAGACCCCCAGTGGATGCCTGAAACCATGAGTCGTACTGAACCCCACACAAACTATGTCTTTTCCTATCCATATATATTATACCTACAATGAAGTTTAATTTACAAGTTAAGCACAGTAAGAGATTTAGCAGTAACAACTGGTAATAAAACAGAATAACTATATTTATATTGTAACAAAACTTATGTGAATGTGCTCTCAAAATATCTTGCATGGTTCTCACCTATTTTTGGATTGTGGTTGCCGGTAGGTAACTGAAACTATAGAAATCAAAACCACAGATTGAGGGGAGCTACTGTTTTTAGATTTAAATTAAGTAAAATAAAAGAAACTAAACTGAGTTCCTTGTTGACTCGTCACATTTCAAGCACTCAATAGCCACATGTGGCCAGTGGATACCATATCCAATAGGAGACATAGAACACTTCCAGCACAGCGGAAAGCTCTAGTAGACCGTGTTGTCCCAGAATCTTAGGAGCACTGGGAATCTTCCAAGGCTATGTGCAGAGCTTCCTGCCTAGTGATCTACACAGGGCTGCAGGCAGGTTGTGAGATATCAGTTCCCTTAGCTCAAGGCAGGGAGGGGACTGGTTGAAAAAGACTACAGCAGCCTCATCCTTACAACACAGGTGTTGTAAATCATTACTGGTGTGCCATGCCATGAGAAATGTGGAAAGGCATCACCCTTTGTCATGTGAAGGGAACAGACTTAAATCTGGCCAAAGATAGATAATGTTATTGACTTCTGAAACTATTTTAGAACCAGCCAAGCCTCTGGCTTCTAGGTTCACAGAAATAATATGCTGAAAATTAGCTCTGCAAACCATTTTTTTTTTTTTGTATAGATGAGGTCTCACTTTGTTGTCCAGGCTGGAGTGCAGTGGCATGATTGTAGTTCACTGAAACCTCAAACTCCTGGGCCCAAGAGATCCTCCTGCCTCAGCCTCTGGAATAGGTGGGACTACAGGTATGTGCCATTACACTTGGCCAATCTGAAACGAACTTTAAGAGATGGGATCTTGCTGTGCTGCTCAGGCTGGTCTTAAACTCCTGGCTTCAAGTGATGTGCCCACCTCAGCCTCCCAAAGTGCTGGGAATACAGGCATGAGCCACTGTGCCCAGCTCTGCTAATCTTATTCTCACAAATAAACTTAGGACATTTGGTGGGAAGAATGGCATCAACAGTTGGTTTTCGGCAGGGATAGAATGTGTAGATATTACCCAGAACAATATGCCAGGCTCAGCTATAGCTAAGAGTAGTCAGAAAGCAAGTTGGTAGTTCGAGTATTTCTTAAAATACCCAACTTGTCCCAGGCTGCAGTCTGAATCCCTGCGAATGTGATTTCCTCCTTGTCCTTTTCATGGCCTGCATGTTCCAAGAGGTGGCGTCATGCTCCAGGATTCTACCAGGAAAGTTGTGATGTAAACAGCACATGAACCTTTGCTAGTTGGCCTCACAAATTCTCTATTGACTGGAAGCCAATAATAGACAGCAGATAGTTCATGCCGTGTCATGATCCAAAAGTGTACTGGGAGTCAGCTGTTTCAATCCAGTGCAGCTCATTCATATCTGATCGGCCCTCAGTGAGATGGGTTACTGTGTTAGGTTGCCAGGAACTTGCAATGCAGGTGCTAATATCCCAAAAATGATGTGATAAATGGGCAGGCATGGGTGTGAGGGAGGAAGGCTCCCAGGTTGGCCCACAACAGCATAATCGATCACAGCTGAAGTTATCATAATCTAGATTCTAACTACTATTCCTAATCTCTGCTTCTATGAGATGAAGAATCCACCAGAGGGATAAGATCTAGGAGCTGAGAAGCTCTTAAAGAGAGCTGGGTGGGCGAGCGTGTGTACATGGGTGCCAGTGACTGTGAAAGCATGTGTCCCTGTGTGTGTGCACGCTGACTCACAGACATTCACACCCAAATAAGCGAGGCTATGGGTTTGGGCGGTAATGAATTATATGGTGGATGAGGAAGAAGGCGTGGGAGTCGGGAGCCAGCTTTTTCCTTTTATCCACCTGCCGCTCTCTTCCTGTCTCAGCCAGGGCTGTGCCAACCTTGGACCTCCAGCAGAACAGCAGGAACCCATGCTATAGGCCAGTGGCTCTCACACTTGGGCTTACAACAGGATGACCTGGGGCGATCGCCTTGCTAGCCTTTCACTGGGCCCCACCCCAGGAGAATTCACACCTCTAAGGAGCTCCCAGGTGCTGCTGCTTCTGGCAGTGGTCCAGGCCACATCCCAGAACCCCTGCTCTAGAAAGAAGTGAGGAATGGTGGTGGGAGCTCTTCCGCAGCCCACCCCACCTCACCAGCCAACCGGCACCGGGAGGATGGTGGAGTGAGGAAAGGCAAGGGCCTGGAGTCTGCATGGGGAGAAGCAACTGTGGGGCATTCCCTCCATCCCTCCCACCGTCCCTGCTGAGGCCACCACAGCAGCAATCACCAGGCAGAGCAGAGGCGCTGGGCACAGATGAGAAGTGGGGACAACATGGACAACCAGAGATGGGAACTGGGTGAGAAAAAGAGTAAAGGTAGGAGCGGCAGTGAGGGCCCAGGACAGTGGTGAAGGGTGAAGTGGGCATGTGCACATGGAGGGGAGGGAAGGAAAATCCTGGGGGTCCCAGGAGGAACAGGGAGTCCTGACAACTTCCTGCCTGCTTGGGCCAGAGGAGTCCTGAGAATTGGTAGGTCAGGAAGCCTAGACTGGAGGTGCCCTCGGGTCCTCTCTGCATATGTCTGCTGGCTGCGGGTTTTACACCAGACCTTGGCTCATCCATGCTTCCTTTTTGCACCCCCTCCTCCCAACCAGTTTTTGCTAGACCTTGAAAAATGTCCTGAACAAGAAGCACCTTCTGTCTTAGCACTGCCCCAGGACCCAGATTGCTCAGCCCTTCAAAAGCACGGCCCTGGGTCAGAGAAGACAAGGCAGGACTCTCAGGCTGTTCCTCACTATGGTGGATCCCTCAGGGCCTCGGGATCATCAGGACACTGCAGGATACTGAGAGCTGGGAAAACGCCAGCAGGGCCAGGCTATACCTAGGGTGCTGTGGGTCCCAGGCTCCCGCCAGCTTCATGACCTGTTGTTATGGGTTGAACTGTGTCTCTCTAAAATTCATGTCCCAGTCCTAACCCCCAGCACCTGAGAATGTGTCTCATTTGGAAACAGGGTCATTGCAGATGAAGCTGGTTAACGTGAGGTCGTGCTAGAGGAGGATGGGCCCTAGTCCAATATGCCTCGTGTCTTTCTAAAACGGGGAAACTTGGACACAGCCAGCCAGGCATAGAGGGAAGGTGATGTGAAACACAGAGGGAGGCCACCAGGAAGAGAAGGCAGAGACTGGGGTGGTGCCTCTGCAAAGCAGGCCACAGCAAACCACCAGAAGCCAGGAGAGGCCTGCAACAGACTCTCCCCCAGAAGCAACCAATCCTGCCAACACCTTGATTTTTGGACTTCTGGCCTCTGGAACTGAGAAACAAACTTGTTATTTCAGCCAATCAGTTTGCGGTCCTTGGTTATGACAGCCCTAACAAATTAATAGAGGCAAAAAGTCACATCCCTGCAGTAGGTTGGAGCCATCTAAGGATTCCAGTGACAGCACTACTGCATCCATTTCGGAAGCTCTCCCAGCGAACGCGGGGGAACTGCACGGGCCTGCAGCCTGGCAGCCACAAACCTACAGAAAGAGGATGCGGCGGAGGGGGCCATGGTTTAACTCAGGCTTAGCTCTCTCTGTGGGTTCTACTCGGTTGCAAGCACGTGGGAGCACACTGAGACAAGGAGCTGATGTTTGGAGCAGGCACGGACTGACAGGCAGACAGACATGAGTGGGCTCACCACGTTCATCAGGTTCTCGTGGTCCCCACTGGGCTGTCGCGGCTTCTTTTCCCTGAAATGAAGAGTGAAATGCTGTAATGTCAAATGTGCCCTCCTAAAATCAAATGCATACGGGCCCAATTCTTATCAGCTTTTAAATCTCTCTTAAGAACGATGTTTATTTTGTCAACGAAGACAAAACCAGAAAGCGGCTTAATGGCCCATTTGCAGGTGTTGGTTAAGAGGAGGTCAAGCCTCAGCTAGGGACTGTCCACCTCCCCTGGGAACCCTTCTTCCAGGAAAAAACATACAAGTTCACGAAGAGAGGGCCGAGGCCTGAGCCTGAGTAGAAACTGTTTATACCTAAACTAGCAGAACAAGTTATGCCCCCTCAATCCCCACCCCCCCGCTTTTTTTAAAGAAATTATCTTTAAAAAAAGATAAAACAAGTATGAGTCTCTGCAAAGTCACACACTGCCGCGGGATGGAGAAAATAAAAAAAATACAAATTTTGGCACACCGGGAAGGGTACATGCTCTCAGGATGAGTCATATGTACTTCCAGTCTATGGGAAAGTCTGTCAAGTAAAAATAGAATTTGTTTTTACTCGGGACAGTCTAAAAAAGGCCATCAGTTGTAGAGAATAGGCAGCTCATCCACGTTCTCTATAAAACAAGGGTGACACCTAGTGGGAATATGAGTAACTGCAGGGGAGCCCGGGCTCTGCAGCCTCTTTATTCATCTTCCCAGCGACTCAGACTCTGTTACAGCCACAGAGGTCTGGGTCCCACCTGGGCAGGGATTAGGAGGCTGGCTGGGTTCAGAGAGTCTTGGATTTTCTCCTCCTGACAGATTTTAGGGTAGGAAGCCATTTCACAATTTTAAGTGACACCCCTGGAGTTGCTTCCACGGTGGAGGGAGGGTTTGGACACAGGGCTGGCTGATGGTCAGCTGGTCTGCACGGGCCTCTGGTGGCATCCCGCCCATCAGAAGGTTGCGTGCTTTATGACAGTTCCAGGATGTCCTGAAAAACCACTCCTGGTTAGAAAGAACTTCTCTCTGAGCAAAGGTTTCTCTTTTGGGGGGAACTGACATTTTATATGAGACAGAGGAGAGAGAGAAAGTACAACTCAAAAAATGACACTGATGATTATTTCACATACAGCATGTTTCTCTCCTGGGAAAATTAATCTGTTTCTTTTCTTTTTGAAACAGAGTCTTACTCTGCTTCCCAGGCTGGAGTGCAGTGGTCCGATCTTGGCTCCCTGCAACGTCTGACTCTCGGGTTCAAGCAATTCTCTGCCTCAGCCTCCTAAGTAGCTGACATTACAGGCGCCTGCCACCAAGCCCGGCTAATTTTTGTATTTTCAGTAGAGACATGGTTTCTTGGCCATGACCATCTTGGCCAGTCTGGTCGTGAACTCCTGACCTTGTGGATCCACCGGCCTCAGCCTCCCAAAGTGCTGGGATTATAGGTGTGAGCTACTGTGCCTGGCTAGTCTGTTTCTTAAGAAACAGAAGGTCTACACCACACATTTTAAATCATAAACAATTCCTCCGAAGCCACGTAGCAGCAAACATTCTCAGTGACTTCTACGGGATGATAGCAAAAAGATGCATGCCACGCAAGATTTCAAAATGCCCACTGATGACAAAAGACAAAATCCATTTTGACAAGCGTGTGCTCAAAAGAACAGCACGACTTTCATTCTGGGAAGTTTAAAATATAAGGGCTTTTCTAGGTGCTCCCCAGCAAAATCAAATATGGGTTTTCCTTAAGTGAATGAAGAATGTCCTGGGATGCTTTGCAGCAGAGAGAAGTGAGTTAAACCTAACACACAGGTTTCTGTGATGGATCTGTAGTGGATTCAATTCCTAACAGGCTTTTCACATAAATGCTTCTGGGTACAGGGGATATATTTGTTTAGGCACCAGTATACACACTCTGGTTCTCACCTGTCACAACTAGAGCACAGGAATATGAGGAAGGCGATGAGGAAGAAAATGGCTACAGCGGCCAGACTTCCCCACAGGGCGATCTGCATCTGTCCGCTGCCCAGCAGGCTCCCCGCGGGCCCCATGGTGGCAGCAGGCACTGGCACAAGCCGAGGGAGTCAGTCAGTCCTTCAAGGGTGGCGACATGGGGGCAGAGAGCTGCATCCTGTAGAGAGACCAGTGTGTGTGGAGAGTAATTCCAGGGTAAAGTGGCAGAATCTGTAATCCGGTCCCTGTCTAAAGCGAGCCCTTTGTGCAAAGTCAGGGAAGCGTGTGCTGGATGCTGAGGGCAGCCCTGGACTGGAGTTGAAATCAGACTCTGGGCAAGTCCGCTCCGTGGTGTAGGCCTTTATTTATTTATTTATTCAACCTGAAAACGAAAGCAGGAACATATAGCTGTCTGGCCCCAGTGTTTGGAGCAATAGATGTCTTACCGTGATATGTTTGGGGGTGGATTCTTCAATTCTTCTTGTTCTTTTTTTCTTTTCTTTTCTTTTTTTTTTTTTTTTTGTTCAAAACAGAGTCTTGCTCTGTTGCTCAGAGTGCAGTGGCATAATCGTGGAAATCATGGATCACTGGAGCCCTGACCTCCCTGGGCTTAAGCAATCCTCTCCAGAGCCACCCCTCACCCCCAACTTCTGGGACTACAGGCATGCACAACCATTCCCAGCGAATACTTTTATTTTTTGTAGAGATGAAGTCTCACCATGTTGCCTACACTGGTCTTGGACTCCTGGGCTCAAGCAATCCTCCTGCCTCAGCCTCCCAAAATGCTGGGATTACAGTGGGCCACTGTGCCTGGCCTGGCTGGCTTCTTAATGTCTATAAATAAAGATTTCAAGTACTCCATAGCAAATAAATACATACTCGTTTGGGTCCATTAAAAAAATCACAACAGTATACAACAATACTTACACAGTTTTTACAAAAATGCAACTCATCATTTGCCCCCACTCCCCACTGCCATCTCTCATCTCCCTAACCCACTGTTCTCTGAGGAGGTTTAAGGTCAATGCAACTAATGAAACAGAATGTCTTTATATTCACCTGCATTTATTTATTCTGAGTATGTTATTTATTCTAAGTATGTTTTCACTATCCTGCTGTAAGCACCCAATAAATGCATTTTCAAATGAATGAATGAAGTGTGTGCTAAGAATACATCCCTAGCAATAAATAAGACCTATTTATAAACAACTGCAAGAGAAGCGTAAGAGCTGTACCTCGTACATTTCCGTACCTGGTATGTGCCAGTGACTCTGCTAAACGCTTTCCCCATTTAATTGCTGTCACCACCCTGTGTAGGAGGCACTGCTAATCCCCCTTTTACAGAGATGGAAGCTGAATCCCAGCAGAGTGGTGACTTCCCCCGAGTGTCACAGGAGCTAAGTGGCAGGGAGGGATGAGTCCAGCTGTTTCAGACTCCAAAGCCTGTGCTCTGCGCCCATCAAGGAAGCTCCTTCTCACTGTGGGGATGCTGGGACTCATAGGGGTCACTGCACCCTGTCCCAACGCTTCCAAACAGAAACAGGTTCCTTGTGCAAAATATTTTAAGAGTTACGGATATTTTAAAAATGGTCGTATATCAAATGATCTGTCATCACATAGGCCTTGTTTAAAGAACATTGGCTTTGCTCAATTCTAGAACATTCGAAATGAAAAGAAATAGCATTTAAGCTGGTCTCGAGTGTCACGAAGAAAGCAAATACGTTTGTTTTTTGATGGTAGTGCAATATTTTCCTCAAAAAGACTGCCAGTATTTACATTTTCATTTGCTTCAGTGACAAAGCTGTGACTGTATTCAGCCATCCCTGAGCAAAGACATCAAGACAGCTGGGGGGAAGGCTTCATAACAAACCAGGGTGCCTCCTAAAATGGGGAAAATAAAAGCCATTTTGGCAAAGGTGGTTTGATTGGACCAAATTAGCTCAGGGTGAAACACTGTCACATTTATTTGAATATATTCTTTAACTTTGAATATTCAAATAAATATGACAGTGTTTCACCCTGAGCTAATTTGGTCCAGCTGAACCACCTTTGCCAAAATGGTGACAGAGTGACACTCTGTCTATTTGAGACAAAGTCTCACTCTGTCACCTAGGCTGGAGTGCAGTGACACAATCTCGGCTCACTGCAACCTCCACCTCCGGGGTTCACGCCATTCTCCTGCCTCAGCCTCCTGAGCAGTTGGGACTACAGGGCTGTACCACCACACCCAGCTAATTTTTTCTATTTTTTAGTAGAAATGGGGTTTCACCATATTGGACAGACTAGTCTCGAACTCCTGACCTTCTGATCTACCCTCCTCGGCCTCCCAAAGTGCTGGGATTACAAGCGTGAGCCACCACGCCTGGCCAAAGTTAAAGAATATCCAAAAGCTGAAGAAAAAGATACTTTTACCTACAATGTATGCAGAGAGAGAGTTCTGAGAGAGGAAGCTGTTTTCCTCAATCTTTGAATCAACATGAACATCTTCTGAGGCTCGATAATTATATAAATGCAGGGCTTCCTGCGTAGTACAGAACTTCGTTCTTCCTGTGTTTGATTGTATATTATGCCTGTAAACACTACAGGCATACAGTAATAACAAGTAAAATTACTTTTGCATGTTTGCCCCCAGACAGCTATAACCAAATGAAAATAACCACCACTTCTCTTGTGATTTGTTGATGCAAAGAATAATTCACTTTAAATGGAGACTACAAATTGGCACCACAATAGGTTTTAAAATGATTCAAGCAAACACCTAAATTATGGTGACTGACGAAAATATATAAAATACATTTTTATACACAGGTCCAAAGCATAAAGTATTTTAGGAAGCACAGACAAAAGGTATCTATCTCCTGTGCAGGCATCTGTTTGTTCTTCATTCATTCATACAACAGATTAATTGATGCCTATTTATAAAACACCATGTTCTTAGAAAATAGTTTGCTGTGTGAGTTATTCAAAAGCCAGAGATCCATCTATGAAACCTAGTGTGGAACTGCTAGCACCTCTCTCTTTTCTGTACATGTTTCTCTTTTCTCTCTTCTCTCTCTTAACAGAAGGAGGTCGACAGACTATGATGAGAGATGTGGGGTGCCCAGCCCATTAGAACAGTGCAGGGAGAAAGAGGATGAAAGGGGATTATTACAAGCTGCTGAATAAAGGACAGAACCAAGAGGAAATGTATCAAAACTCCTGGCTCACTCCCCTTCAATTACAATTTTCTATAAAGCCACTGAAAGACTTTTTCCAAAGTTCTTACTGGGGACAAAATCTCACAGTGAACGGAATGCTCCTCGTCGGATGCACGTTTCTGAGTCAGATGCACTGCAGTCCCCAGGGACAAAGGGCCGGTTGCGGGGGCAGCTTTCTCCTCTCTGACCCTCTCGGTGCTGCTCTGCAGGACTGTGGGACACCAGTCCCCGTGGTCGTAGGCAGTGCTGGCGGCTCAAGGGTGGCTGCACCAGCAACTGCCACCTACTCCTCTTTGGGGGCCTGGCAGAGTGTGTGTGGGGTGGCTGAGGGGATCTAGACTAACATAATCCTTGACATCAGGTGTCCTGGGTAGACGGCTCCCATTTTGGAGATCTGTGTGCTGCTATTTTTCTCTCCTGGTCTCTCTCTTTTTTTCCTGGATGTTTGTTTCCAAAATTCCGCTGCCCATGCCTTCTCTGGCTATCTCCTTAAATTTTGGCAGCTCATCTACAACTGAACCAAGACTGCCTCCCGCTCACCCTCCTGCTTACATGTCTAGATGGACTTCCCAGGAAATGTGTCTGGGTGGACCAGCTCCGCCCTCCCCATGTGCGCAGATGCACACAGATCACTTTGTGTTTCCCCTTCTTGGAGCAGCTGAGGGTAGAGGCCTCATGTGGAAGGTCCAGTGCTCTGCCCCTAGGCTGGACCCTCATGCATTGGTTTTACTGCCCTTCGGTGCAGTGCTTGGGGGTCTGCGCTCTGTTCTTCTGAGTGAGGGGAAGGTGGAGGGAAACCAGTGTCCTTTCCAGTTGCCAGGAGGCTTTTCTTAGGATGAGTGATGGAAGGGAGAGAGAGTAAGTGGTAGGAGGCATAGCATATGGATAGTAAGAGTTACCCTGAACAGGAAGGGCCCTGTGGCAATCGTGGCATTTCCAGACCCTACACTGTGCCAGTTGGGCTCCCTGTGGAAAAGCCACCACCCAAGGCAGTGCTGTCCTGTGACATGGTTAGGGTCCACAAGGACCATCTTATTTTTGGCTGATTCAATATCAAGTAAAATATGTCTTGACTGTCAGGAATGACCTCTTCCACCAGAAATACCTGAACCATTTGGAGCAGCATCTCTCATGATTTTTTTCATGAAAACATTTAAGTCTATTTCTCTGAATCCTGTTCTTTAACTTGACTCAATAAACTTGCATTCAACCATAGAAATTTATTTCTTCCTCCTCCTCCTCTTCTTCTATTTTTTTTTTTTTTTTTTTGAGATGGAGTCTCACTCTGTCACCCAGGCTGGAGTGCCGTGGTGTGATCTCGGCTCACTGCAACCTCTGTGTCCTGAGTTCAGGCAATTCTCTGCCTCAGCCTCCTGAGCAGCTGGGATTACAGGCACCCACCACCATGCCTGGCTAATTTTGGTATTTTTAGTAGAGATGGGGTTTCACCATGTTGGCCAGGCTGGTCTTGAACTCCTGATCTCATGATCCACTCACCTTGGCCTCCCAAAGTGCTGGGATTACAGGCATGAGCCACCACACCTGGCCTTTTTTTTTTTTTTTGGATACAGGGTCTTGCTTTGTCACCTAGGCTGGAGGGCAGTGCTGTGATTACTGCATCTTTGACTCCCGGGCTCTAGCAATCCTCTCACTGCTGCCTCTCGAGTAGCTGGGAACACAGGCATGCGCCACCACACCTGGCTAACTTTTTTGATTTTTAGTAGAGATGAGGTCTTCCTATGTTGCCCAGGCTGGTCTTGAACTCCTAGGCTCAAGTGATCTTCCCACCTCGGCCTCCCAAAGTGCTGGGGTTAACAGGCATGAACCATTGCACACAGCCTATTTCTTCAAAGTTTAAAAAATATTCTCTTATCAGAGTACATGTGTAAATATTCTTTGAGTTATTCAACACAGGGCAATGAAGGACCATTTATTTTAATTGTACCTCTACTAACACTTAATTTTGGCACCTGAACGCCAC